AAATTATAATTGAGCTACCCCGCCCACGTACCTCTCCCTTCTTCGTTACTCCAGAAGCAACTTCTTCCCTTGTGACGTTGACTTTCCAAATCAACGCGTTGATTAGGTTGGAAGCAACAGCTACGTTATTACAACTCCGTCTGGATTAATCGATCAAATTAGTAAACCAATTTTTGACCCAGTCAAGTGTAAAAAAATTGAGAAATTAAAAAAAAAACTTGTTAAATTTTAAAATAACAAATACTCCTCCGGTCCTTATTATAAGACCCCATTTGACTTTTTATTTGGTCCTAATTATAAGACCCTAATCCATTTTGTCTCTTATATTTATGCATTTTTCCAAGATAATCCTTCTAATAATGATAGTTTTAGCCAATATACTTAATTAGCAAGGATATTTTAGGAATGACAACACTTATTTATTATAAATAACCAACTTAACTTACTTCCTTAATCTCCTCAAATAAGTCAATTGGGTCTTATAATTAGGACCGGAGGAGTATTACATTTGGTCCTAATTATAAGACCTCGTTTGTATATATAAATAAAGTCTTACAATTAAGACTAAAGCTAATAGATGATTTTGACAGATTTTGATATATTAAAACTATTATAAAAATAGTTAAAATCATTACAAGAATCCTATTTATCTTTTTGAAATTTAATAGGTATTTTTTGGTCATTTTTTCTAAAAAGTTCGGATTGATTGTTCGGATTGAACTTTATGTCTTTCCCCCTTCTTCCTCAGCTACAAACAATGTTATTTTGAGTTTAAGAAGCAAAACAAAAATTAGCAATCTGTTATTTGCACTTTAATTAATGACTTTGTTTTGTTATATTATGTGTGGTTTATACATAAATATTTCATTTTACTTGTGGATTGTCAATTTATTAGGATTATGTATGAATATTTTTATTTATTTTAATTAAATTCTGACTTTGGTTTAACTGTTGTTGAACATTAACCCTTAAACTAATGTTTTTGATCGGTCCAATAATCAATTTGACTTTCAGTACCTTATGAAAGCATGAAGGAAAAAAATGAGAGGAGAAAAATGCGGGAAAATATTTTCTCTGTTTTTAGATAAATGAAGAGTAAAAAATGCAGAAAAAATGTGTCTGATTCCACAATGATAATAATACTCATATATGGAAAAGATGTTGACCCACGCTTGTCTTTTCCTTCTCCTTTTGGACATTTTTGGAAGGGAAATCTCAACAACAAAAAGATACCTCTTGAATTTTAGACTCCCAAATTAAAAATTATTATAAAAATATGTCATTATTTGCTTTTTAAGTGTAGTCGGTTGTTATTAAAGTGTAGTCAAAAAGATGTTTGAAATTTTAAAATTTCAGAAGTATTTTTTTTTTTTAGATTTTTCTTTTTGAAAATTTTTAAGCCCATGCTTCAAAGATGATTGGAAAATTTTGAGATTTTCAGCACCTTATGAAATTTCTGCTTTAGAGAGAAAATTTTGTAAAGAAGACATGTAAGCCCATGCTTCCTTTTGACCCTCATTTTTATTTCTTATTTTCTCTTGCTATCAAGTAAAAGAGAACTTTATTATTTTTTTTCTTACTTGTTTTTTAATTTTTTCTCCTCCATAATTTTTCTCTCCGGTAAATTAAAACATAGGGCAAGTGGACTTGATTCCATTTTTCTTTTTATTTTTATTTTTTCTCTCTACTTTTCTAATTGTTTGTACTTAAATTTCTGCATTCTCACAAATTTTTAAAAAAATTGAGTGAAAATTCCTCTATTAAAAATTTTATAGGTAAGAAAGACCTAAATTAGAATATTAATACTTTGTATGTACAAAATTTACAAGATATTATTACTTTCTGTATAGAAAATTTATCAGGTTTTCCTCGCTAATAAAATTTTTAAGGGGGACTTTTCCACAATCTTTCCAAAATTTTATTCAAATTAATATATTGTTCAGCAAAAAAGTTCCTATCAAATTGATTTCTATCTCATACTTATTGTATGATTAAAAAAATCGTTTTTTTAAAATTTTTGGAACAAATTAAGGGATGCCGCACCCCAAAATGTGATGAGGGGATCATTGCCCCGAGCTATCCTTCCTCACCGACCCTTCAAGATTGGGTGGTAGCTGGAAAATTTCAGTTAGTTTTAAGGATAAAAATCAATGTCATCTTTCACCGTACGTTTATACAAATGTGGTTCCCATGATTATTGAGACTGATTTATTTGGTGTTTTATACAATATTTTAGAAGTTGGATTGGAAATCGACTAGGAAAGACTAGTGGGTTACAATTCAAACAGTTAGATCGATCAAGCAGTCTAGGGAGACTGGTGACACAATAATTAAATAAAATTAATATTATATACATATAATATATGTCAAATTGTTAAATAATTTAGAAATATATCAAAATAGCCCAAAATTATGATGACTTAATAAATTAACATAATACTACTTTCGGTCATAAATATAAGAACTAGTTGAAGAATTGAATTTAGTTCAGAATATAAGGCTTTAATCCACTTTATCTTCCAAATTTATAGTTTGTCCAAAATATCCCTATTAATTAATTGTGAGGGGCTTCCACCCATAAATAATTCCAATATACATTATTAAATAAAATAATTTTAAAAAGTCAACATACATTTGTTACAAATAACAAACTTAACTAATTTTTTAAATTAATTATCTAACCTTTATATTGAGGACTAAAGGTGGTATTATATCTCATAACTCTCAAATCATTGATATAATAATGCACTAAAAACTTGCATATTTAAAGTTATATACATTTGAAATATTTAATAATATTAAATATGATTAATTTATTTAGATCAAATAGTATTTTAAAAGTTTGACTCAGCAGCTCATAGTTTTAACATCACAACATATAAAATTTAAAATGAAATAATATCATATGACTACCAATAGTCTAAAAATATATTAGAATTTTGAAGTGGGTCAATTTTTTATTTTTTTAAATTTTTAGTATTTCTCTTTAGGCTAAAAAACTGTTTGGTTTTCTAAAAACCATTCTGGTTCCGATTCAATTTCATGTTCTAGTCTACGGATAGGACGGCTCAACTTCAGTCCTATCTAATTCACTCATGAAAACAATTTTTTAATGCAAACCGAGCTGTTAACAAGTCTAATTAACTATTCAACCAGTTATATTATTCAGTCTGGTCTGGTTCTTTAATCATTGGTTTTATACCAATAATGCAGCAACAATAGCATTATGATGTGAGATATTTAACTTATATTAACTAACGTTTTGTTGTTTTACTAACATAATATTAGTTTATCCCACTAAATGATGTAATTAAAAGTTATGTTACACTGGACAAATTAAAATGAAATTGTTTAAACATTATTTTTAAAAAGTGCAACAAGTGTAATATAATTATGGAGCATTAAATCATTCAAAAGCGCGACTCTTTAATTTTTAGATCCTTTGGTACATAAAATATTTTTTTTTAAAAAAAAAAAGAGCACAATTTTGATAAATTAAAATAATTTTTTGTAACTCAGCTAAAATTTTTTTTTTGTGCCTATTTAAAATAATAACAAAGACTTAATTGTTCTTCAAGGAAACCCAATCAAAGTACGAAAGAACCTTGGAGTATTATAATTCATTAATTATTAACTAAAAGTGGAAAAGTATAATGTTGATAAGTGAAGAAGAAGAATAAGACCGTGCGTAGGAAGTCCACGGGATATGTTTAGCTTGTATGAATAATCCTTTGGGGCATACTAAGTAGGAAAAATTGTAATAAGTTTCCACCCAAGAAAATTAGATATAAAAAAATCTGTTGAAATTATTAAATTATTTTGAAGTCTCAAGGAATCTCATTGCAAAAAATTTTATTTGTTTTAATTATCAAATTGTTCTTATCTTTTTTTTTAAGTATGTATTGACAATTAAAAATGCAATCGTTAATAATTTAAGGTGTAATAATTAACAATTATTGTGGTAGATATTGATAACTCATGTATTAAATTTTTGTGATGCACTGAGAAAATGTGTTGTTAATACCTGCCTTAATAGTTATTAATCGTTACACCTTAAGTTATTAACGAGTGTTTTTTCAATTATCAATGCATATTTAAAAAAAAGGTAATTTGATAATTAAACAAATAAAATTTCTTGCAATGAGGTTTCTTGGGATTTTAGAATAATTTGATGATTTCAAAGGGCTTTTTGTATTTAATTCTCTTGGATGAGACCTTATTGCAATTTTCCCTATTAAGTATTTTCTGAATTTTAAAATAATTCATCCCACTCGATAATTTTGTCACATTTATGAGATTCTAGTAAAAAAAATTAATTTGTTAAACTTCAATTAAAATTTTGGGTAAAAATGTACACTTCTTCCTCTAACTTCATACAAGATTTTATTTTAATTTTTTTATTTTATAAAATGTCTTTTAAGTACTCTAGCTTTAGTATCATTAGTTTCATTACAAAAAATGTTAATATTAAAATTTTAAATGTCAAGAAAACATTGACCAATGCTTAATACATAGTAGTATTGTTTTGGATAAAAAATAATTCTTATGTATTAATTTTATTTTTCAAATGATAAATTGATATAAAACTTTATTATTTGAAATTGACCGTGTTAATGTTGGAAAACTAAAACTTTATGTAAAATTAAAGAATCAAAGTTATGCTTTTATTAAAAATTTTATAAGTACTCCATTGTATTTAAAAAAATATCACACCATTGTGATATAATTATCAGTAATAAATCATTCAAATTCTTTGGCCCTGGTTCGTAATATATAAAAATAAGAATTTTTTTTACCTTTGTTTATTATTCTAAAAGTAGAAGAATAGAATATTAATAAATGGAGGAAGAGGGTAAAATTGTGAATAAGAAAGAACCATGGCATGTTGAAGACTTTGAACCAGAGGCGGGAGGTACAGGTCACATACGTTGATGGTGTATATAACGGGATCGTCGACCCATTTTCTTTCCATAAGCTGGCCCTAACATCTCTCTCTCTCTCTCTCTCAAGTTTGGAATTGAATTAGAAGAGTGGATAATCTTCGTGGGGGTGAACACAGGGAAGGAGAAAAGGGGAGGAATCGACAGATTCTAAAATGACGCATTAGCCCATCTGTTTCTTCATTTCTTCTTTCCTCCGTTTTCTTTTCAAATTTGATTTCGTCTTCTTTTGGGTGACCTTCTTTGCTTCTATCAGCTTCGGGGTTGAGTAAGGTACTGGTTTTTTCGTTTTGTGTCTTTTTTCCTTCTTTCCTTTTTGCTGCCCTTTACTTCACTGCCTCATTTTCTCCTCTGATCTAGCTGTGAGGTTCTTGCTTTCTTGGCTGGTATGGTGCTTCAGAATTTTGTTCTGATTTCTTTTGTTTTCCTGGACAATGGAAGATCGAGCTTAAGAAATTAGGACAACGTCTTTCTTTCTTTGTTTTTTTTCCCGTCTCCTTTCTTTCAGCATTTCCCTGCTGCGTAAAGCGGCACTGAGGCTTGCGATTTTCCCCCGTTTGTGAAACTAAATGAGCGTTGGTTAGTCTGTGAATTTCGATGCAAGGGTTGAAGCTTTTGGCTTATGTTGCAATGTGTTTGAGTTTCCATCTTCTGTGTTTGATTTTCTTGTTTTTCCTTCAGGCTCTGTTGAAAAGGGCTAATAACTCGCATAGCACTATTCTTTTCCGATGTTTTCTGATTCAAAGTCAGATCTGCATCGATTTTTGCTGCTGATTTCGTGTTGAGTATTTGTCTTTTTGTTGATCGATTAATTTCTTATTTCTATCAAAAAATTCACGGTCATTCTTGGCCTTTTACTGCGGATTTTCGTCAAGGAAATGAATTTCCGTATCAGCATTAGTCAAGTTTCTTGTTTTATTATACCCTGATTTTTAAACTCAAAATTGATATCCTTTTCCGTAAGACACTGTTTATTTGGGTATTGGGTTTGATATATCCTTTTTAATTCGATTCCCTCTGGTATGACGTTAGAGAGGACAAAGTAAGGTGCATGTTAGCTCTTTGATTCTCCACGAATTTTGATGATGACAACGAAGTAGAGACATCTAATAGGAAAGCGAAAGAAAACAGAGGCCTCTGGGAATCTGTTCTGGAAAAGTTTGAGTAGAAAGTTTCCAATGGCTTCTAGGCTGGATTGGTGCTTGTCCTCTTTACATAATATTAAAAATTATTGTCATTTCGTTTTATTCTGCATTTATCAAAAAATTCTGGGTCATATTCTCTTTTTCCTTTTTCTTTCTCTATTTGCTTTACTTGAACGCTCGCATGTCGTGTTGAATTTAAGTTCCCTCTTAATTACGGTGTTTATTTACCACTTTTACTTCCTTTCCATCTTCTTGTGTGTGTGTTTGTGTGTGTTTCAAACTCATTTTGATGTGCATGCAGCTGTAGAATTCATTATGGTGGCAACTGCTGCTACTTCGTCGTTCTTTCCGGTTACTTCGCCATCACCAGACTCTGGTGCGAAGGCAGCCAAGCTTGGTGGTGGGCCTGTGAACCTTGGAGGGCTCAAATCAAAATCCACAGCTCATGGTGGATTGCAAGTTAAGGCCAATGCCCAAGCCCCTACCAAGGTCAATGGATCCACAGTTACTACATCTGTGGAAGGCACGAAGCATGGTGATGATTTGCCATCACCTCCTCCAAGGACATTTATCAACCAGCTACCTGATTGGAGTATGCTTCTTGCTGCTATCACAACAGTTTTCTTGGCTGCGGAGAAGCAGTGGATGATGCTTGATTGGAAACCAAGGCGACCTGACATGGCTTACGACCCCTTTGGAATAGGAAGAATTGTTCAGGATGGTCTTGTGTTCCGTCAGAACTTTTCCATCAGATCATATGAAATAGGTGCTGATCGAACGGCATCTATAGAGACATTGATGAACCATTTGCAGGTATGCTCCGATCGAAAAAGGGAAAAAAAGAACCTTTAAATTGCATTTGAAGAGACTTTGACTGTAGGCAGACAATTTTAAAAATTACTCTCTCTGTTTCTTATTATAAGAGACTTTTGATGCTTATGGCATGTTCCCATGTATAAGAGACACTTAAAAGTTGTCTTTATTTTTTTGTATTGATTTCCTATTTTACCCCTATTTATTTTGTCTCTAACTCATACTCTCTCTTCCTCTTACTTCTCTTTCTTTTAATAATTAAATTGTTCTCTCTCATACTCTCTCTCCTTATTAATGGGGTATTGTTGGAAAAAAACATTATACTTTTTACACATTAATTGTCCTCAACTAATTTTAACTGTTTTTTTTAAAATTAATGTAATTTGGTTATTTGTCTCTTATAATAAGGAACGAGTAAGTCTTTGTACCGCAGGTTGTAGTTGATTTTCCTGGTGAGATGATTTCAATTATTTGTTTTGCACTACAGGAAACTGCACTTAATCATGTGAAGACTGTTGGGCTTCTTGGTGATGGCTTTGGTTCCACGCCAGAAATGTGCAAGAAAAACCTAATATGGGTAGTTGCTAAGATGCAGGTCGCAGTTGATCGCTATCCTACATGGTAATTCACCTAGTATCGCCCTTAATTTATGTGATTCGCTCACGTATCACCTGTTGTCTATTTGTCTTTTATCATGTGATCTTTTATGGCGCACTTGCACTGCGGGAAGCCCTATGTATTAGCATTGTTAATCTGGATGTGAAATGCAATGTAGTATAAACAGTGTTATTTAACCAAATGTGTTGTTATTGTAAAAGGCTGAGTGCATATACAGACTTGTGTTGAAGTAATGTGTGCAATGACTGCTCGACATTCTGATTCAAAACTTGTCAATTGATTAGATAAAAGACTATGTATTCTTCTCTTTGTAAGAGGCTTTAATGCTTTTTTTTGTGAGAGTTGAGATATTTATGGGCCAAAAGCTAAGAAATTAAGTATTTTATCCTTAAAGCTAATGGTAAAGTCCAATAACATCCTTAGGATCTTTGTATCCCAGTTCCATATTGAACTTTGATCAAGTTGAAAAACCTGGTGGAAATTGTACTTACAAGACTCTTGCTCCCTGTTTTTGGTGTTGATTTTGTTCACAACTTCTATACCTTCGGACCATAGTCTTGAATTTTTGGACAAAGCAGATGTTTCCAGTCAATATGACATGCTTGAATGGCATTAGTTAGGATTATCATGGGAGAATTGTGAAACTGATTATCAAGTTGCATGAATTTTGTATTTTTAAGGGGTGATGTTGTTCAAGTAGACACTTGGGTTTCTGCATCTGGAAAGAATGGTTTGCGGCGTGATTGGCTTGTGCGTGACTGCAAAACTGGAGAAACACTGACCAGAGCTTCCAGGTAGAAGCCTATCAGAATGCTTCCTTTCCTCCTTCCTCCTACTACCTAAAAGGACATGTCTTGAACTTTGAATGTGCATGAGACTAGCAATTGGGCATTGGGTAGAATTTTGCTAACTTTTTTTGAAGTTATGGTTACTTTTGCTTTGTCTGATTATGCATTTATAATTTATCATAACTAAAATATTAAATATACTTATGGCATTTATCATGCATTTACCATTGTAATAAATACAATGAATTACAATTTTGAGTGCATTAGTTTTGAACTTCTTATAGATGAAGCTCTCTGGTACTACCAACAGTTTTTATATCTTGGTTGTTCATGATATAGTGCGAGTCTTTAGCTTGCATTCTTGCAGCGTTTTGAAAATAGACAGTAACTAAATGTTTCTGATATGTTGGTTGTGGCTTTGACAATACAGTGTTTGGGTTATGATGAATAAACTGACAAGGAGGCTATCTAAAATTCCAGAAGAGGTCAAAGGGGAGATAGGGGGTTATTTTGTGAATTCTGATCCAGTTTTGGAAGAGAATAACATAAAGCTACTTAAGCTTGATGACAACATAGCGGATTATATTCGAACTGGTTTAACTGTAAGTCAAGTTTCTTGAAACTTTTGTTACTTGAGATTATTTTCAAAAAATAACCTATACTCTGTTTGATTCTAATGTAACATGCTGATTGTCTTTCTTATCAGCCTCGATGGAGTGATTTAGATGTCAATCAGCACGTTAACAATGTGAAGTACATTGGCTGGATCCTGGAGGTGATTTTATGTACTTTTGTTCTTTCCAGTTCTTATCCTTGGCATTCTCTTTTTATCTTTTGTTCCTTGTAATGCATCTCTTTTAGCATATGTTGGCTATGAGTTTGAGTGTTCACAAATAAATTTGTTAGGCCCAATTAAGAACTAAGAGTTGGGTTTGTTTCACCTGAAAAAGGCATTTTGAAGATGTAACTTCTTAATCCCACGTGTCAGGTAGTAAGCCTTAAGTTACAATCCAATTGAGTGGCTAAACCAGCTTGTTTGTTAATACTGTATACAATGATACATTCTTTCAAAATGATTTGATGATGACAAAGCGATGAATTAGCGTGCATGATTGATGCCTCATGGTTGCAATTTGGTCCCTCATAAATTTTTTTAGCAATTTTAACCTGAGGATGATGTTGCAGAGTGCTCCACAGCCAATCCTGGAGACTCATGAGCTTTCTGCCATGTCTTTGGAGTATCGAAGGGAGTGCGGTAGAGACAGTGTCCTTGAGTCCCTCACAGCTGTCTCTGGTGCAAATGTTGGTGATTTAGCTCACAGTGGTAACATTGAGTGCATGCATTATCTTCGACTTGAGGATGGTGCTGAGATTGTGAGGGGGAGGACTGAGTGGAGGCCCAAACACCCGAAGAAACTCGGTACTGCCATGAACAGGGCAAACAAACTCGGTGCTACCATAAGCGAGGCTCCAGCAATGAACACCTAACATCTATAATGGCCATTGGGCCCTCTTCCTACCACTCCTGGACAATTCATGCTTGTCTTTGTCCAAACTTCTCTGTGCCTTCTGATTGTCTCTTATAATAAGGGTATGGAGGAAAAGTGGAAGTGGTCTCATTCTCTTTGTAATTATCTCTCTATCTCTGTTCCATGGTTTTAGCCCGAAAAAGAGAGAACCAAAAAAGAAAATCTCTGTTCCATGGTTCTATTTATTTATTATGGTTAAACACCATGGCACGTTTCAGCTAGGCTGTGCTGTGTTCGATATTTATTGGTTTCATTATAATGCGTAGGCATACATGTAACTATGTATGTATGTATGTATGTATGTATGTATAATGTAAAATTCTTTTCTTTCACGGGCCAAATTTGCTTGTGAAGAAAGCACAATTATTATTACTTGAATGTATATTCTGTTGGGGAAGGAGTTTGGTTGCATGATTTGATATATACAGCTTGTAAATGCCATACTCCCACATGGGAATGATTATAATACTTGTGCGCTCTTAGTGGGCCCTTCATGTTCATGTGTCTCAAGAAGCACTAATATTATTAATTGACTGGAAAAGGAATATGACACAATGTGAACAACCATATTGGAATTTTTTTAAACAAATAATATATCGATCATTTTTTTGACCAAATATCAATAACTAATATATTGTTCATATAAAACATAGCAAAATTTAACATTGACAACTCAGTTTATTTTTCCCCTTCCATGTGAGAATCCACTTTATAATCCAAGAGGTGACAAATTTAGCGCCCAGATGATTTTTATTTAAGTAATTTTTAGCATAAAAAGGAGATAGGAGGATGATAATAATAAGTGAGTGTAGGTATTTACATGACACAAGATTTTAATTTAAATTTTATAATTATGTCTTTTGCTAAACACATGTTATGAGATATTAGTCTTTTTTTTCATCATATTCAACTCTCATTGGTAAGACAATTTTAGTTTTAATGAAAAGATAAAACGTTAGGAACAAAATGGGCTTCAGGGGCTAGCAATCAGATGAAGTTACCGAGAAGTCCAAAACCAGAAAAGAAACAAAGAGGAGTGGCCCAAAATAAGAAACCCAACACGAACCAGCAAGACCCGGCAATGTGATTCCTTCGATCAACACCAACAAACATTTGCATATGAGCCATGAGAGGGGTCTTAATGATTCTACCACCAAGAAGCACCTGTCAATGCCGAAATACTCCTGTGGGAGGATGAATCTCCATTGTGAAATGATCAAATGAAAAATTAGAAAAAAATAATTAAAAAAAAAATCCCACGGAGGTGATCCCACACGAATAGGCGTATGTTCCATAACTATCAGAATAAGAGTGTTTGGAGGAAGATCGTGTTTCATGATGAATAAAAGATTGCCATTAGAAACTGTAGACTAGAATCCCGATGACAAAACGAGGATGCTCCACATATAATAATTAAAAAAATCATTTTTTTTCTTTTTATTATTAGATTCTACATAAAATGAGTGAAATTTTGATATCTCATCAGCAAAAAATGGTATTGTTTTCTATGAGGGGAAATACCTCCCAAGAATAAGAAGAAGGATGCGAAGATGAGGAAGCAAATTTGTGCTTAATGGCAGGTTAGTGAGGTATATTATTCAGAACCCGTATTACAATTTGCCCCTTCCCATCTGCTGCAGTCCTTCCACCGTGATCTTATATTCCCATCTGCTGCAGCCTTATATTCTTTAATTTGAGTAGATTAAAAAAAATTACTACCTCCGATTCTTAATATAAGACCCCGTTTGACTTTTAATTTAGTCCTAATTATAAGACCTCAATCCATTTTGTCTCTCATATTTATGCATTTTTTCCCAAGATAATCCTTCTAATAATGATAGTTCTAACCAACACACTTAATTAGCAAGGATATTTTAGGAATAACAACATTTATTTGTTACAAATAACTAACTTAACTTACTTCCTTAATCTCCTCAAATTAGTCAACTGGGTCTTATAATTAGGACCAGAGGTAGTATTAAGTTAGTTATTTGTAATAAATAAGTGTTATATTTTTTAGAATACCCTTGCTATTATTCATGTGTATTAGTTAGAATTATCAGATAGAACATTTAATGTGTACAACAACTACAAGAACTATTTGAAAAATAGATACTTTTCCGGTTTTTAATATGGAACCTAATTGTTGAGTTGATTTTAGTTCTAAATATAAGACTTATTTTTCATATTTATCAATTTTTTTCTAAATTACTCCTATGGATACTCTCTCAACTATAATCAAATAAAAAAGGGGGAGGATATTAAGAAAGATGGTTATGGTATTTAAAAAAAAAAAACATGTCATACTTCTTATAATTAACTAACTTACCTAATTTCATTAATCTAATCAAATTAGTTAAATAGGTCCTATATTAAGGATCGGAAGAATATAATATAAGAGATAAAATAAATTAGAGTCTTATATTAGAACTAAATTAAATGATAAACTAACTTTTATACTATGAAGTAGACGATGTCATGAGACTTCTTCAATTTGTGTTGAGTTGTTGAATGCATGGACCCGCCCCCGGGGGGAGAATCCCTACGACTGGTTCTAACAGACAAGTGTATGAATAGTAATGTGGCTTCATCGGTTTTTTGTCATGCCATTTTTATAGCTTTGATGATTTCTTTTTTTTCCAAATTGCTTTACCATTCCTTGATTTTCTAGAATGTAGGAATGCATTTGCGTCAAAACAAATTTTTTGTGTTGAAAAAATTACTCCTCCGGTCCTAATTATAAGACCCAATTGACTTATTTGAGGAAATTAAAGAAGTAAGTTAAGTTGGTTATTTATAATAAATAAATGTTGTTATTCCTAAAATATCCTTGCTAATTAAGTATATTGGCTAAAACTATCATTATTAGAAGGATTATCTTGGAAAAAAATGCATAAATATAAGAGACAAAATGGATTGGGTCTTATAATTAGGACCAAATAAAAAATCAAATTGGGTCTTATAATAAGAACCGGAGGAGTATTATTTTTTGTTTTGTTTGTTTTAACCAATTTGTGACTTTTTTTTAAACTTTAAGGTTTGTGCAATATCTGGGTGAATATCATTGTCAGTGTTGACATACTTTTATATTCTCTTATGGTTTTTCCTCCCCTTGTCATAGTTAGTTTCAATTGGTATATTTTCTTAGTTTCTCTTTTTATGATTAATTTTGGATTCCAATTTTATTTTTTTCAAAAATTAAATTGATTTATTCAAAAATCTTTACATGGACCTACATGAGGTCACTGTTTCAAATTTCAATAATGGTATTAAGCCTTTTTATTTCAATTATTTCTGACTTTTTTTATTTTTTATTTTTTGCTTTCTTTCAATTTCTCATTCATTCAACTGTGTTGTATATAAATATAAATGCATATATGTCACGGTTATTCCTCACCACAATATATGAGATTTATATTACTCCCTCTGGTCTTAAATATAAGATATATTTTGTAATGTAAATCATACTATAAAATAAATTTTATATTTAAGACTAAAGAAGTATATAAATATAAGTGTATATGTGAGACAGTAGGTGTGAGGTTATTGATCCTTGACCCTTTTGACACCCTGCAGACTTCGCATTCAATTTAGCCATACCCATTAGGCTTGGGGGTTTCGTCTTAAGAATGCCGGCCCAACTCAACAACAAAATATATCCAAATAAATCAAAATATTAATTGTTTTCTTAAAATATGTTTAATAGCAAAGTGAAATAAAGAAGTCCTAAGCGATGGCAATTAAAATATAAACACATACACATACTATCAAGGGTGCTAATATGGCCCAACTAGTGAGTTGCGATGGTTCGTGACAGGTTAGGATTAGATAACACAGGTTTAAAAGGCCTGTGTGATGGCAAGCTAACTTTTAGCCAATATAAACAAAATTTTTTATTATACAACATAAACAAAACATAATAAAATTTTTATTTTTTTTCAAATACGTGATTAAAAACACCAAATAAATTATATTATTTTATTTTTTTAGATAGGGTATGAAATGTAATAATATAGTTATAATAATTATTAAATTGAGAAAAATAAATGTGGGTTAGCCCATAACAGTTTGTGGGTATGGCGGTGTGGATTAAAAAATTCCGTTTGCTGGCTGGCTAGCTTTTAGCCAACTCTAAGCTGCTATTTTTGGCAGGTTAGTGAGTTGGATCCGCGAGTCCAACTTATATTACCAATTCTACATACTAAAGTAGTATGATAGAGCCTTTGGGGCTCTTTCTCCCTAGTGCCTTCCCTTGAATTTTACATGATTTGACACATGAAACTGTTAAGATGAAAAGATGAGATCCAATATCTCAATAACTACTAAAACCTTAACATGCATAAACAAACCTTACACAAGCCATTTATAATCATGTGTATATTTATATAAATATATCGGTCATATAACACACTTGTCTAAAACTTACGTTTAATTTATCAAAGTACCACAATCTCATAGTCCATGAAAAAGACATGATGAAATGCAATATGTCTTTCCTATATCACTGTCTATCCTTATATTACTGATTAGAGTCATAAGCTAACACATATAGTCTAACAAGAATCAATTTATGTAACTGGATGGTTCTAAGCTCACCACTTCCTAAAATGTACTCAACCAGAGGTATAGAGCTCAAGTCCGGACCTCCTTAAAAGACAACAATAAGGAGTTGTCACATGTTTCACAACTCCAATGTAATCCTAGTCAAAGAAAATCATGAAAAAAAAGCTCGAAAAAGGTCAATCATTATGTACCGAGTGATGGCATACCAAGTGGTAAAAAAATTCATCATACGCATACTCCTTCTAATCTCATAATGAATGGAAATGTAATGACAATTATATAAAAATCCCGTCGGATACAATATTATTTAGATCATAGTGTCGAAAATAGTTTCCATTCAAATCACATATTATTTCATATACAAACACTCTTGAAAAGAATAAACTATCTAACGATTCACATGATGCAAACCCGAATATAATATGACAAACATACTTAAAAGAATTAAACTGAGATCCATACGTATTTATGTATTGCACGCACACCCTTCAAATATAATGGCATGTTCATTTTGCATTCACGCATGCATATATATGCATATATATATATATATATATTCATATGTAGCAAATTTACGATTTATAGTATAATTATTATAATATTATAATATTATAATCATGATGATTTGATTATTAGAACTATTAAGAAGTTTAATATCATATAATATTTATTAATATTTTAATCCACAATATAAGGCGGCATACATAAAATATAAAAATGAAACCACATTAAAACTAACTCTCTTAGAAAATTTCACAATATACCTACAATATATCTATTTATATAATTATGTTTACATAATTTAATAGGCAATCAGAGTAGAACCACGCAAAGTTTACATGTATATGAGAGAATGTCCAAAGTTACCTATTACTCCGGCTTACTGGAAATTACGACGGTTACTCCCAAACTCATAATAAAAATCTTATTGCAAT